ACTCAATTTGCACTATTTCTGGCAGTCTGCAACCCCCCATAGTTGGGGGATTTAGTGCCCTGATTTATCCCAACAGGGGCAGAAACAAAGAAACTGCTTAATTCATCTTCAGTTGTCCATCTCTACTTTATCTTTTTGCTACCCACATTGGGTCTCTAACTTGTCAATGGCCAAGTTCCAATAATACTAATACTAGATAACATTACACTGAAAAAAATGAAATGTATGTTCTTCTAGTTTGCCTTTGGCTGCTAAGGCCTGATGGTACAGGTACAGAAAGATGGTATTAACAAAAGATACTTGCACAAACATTATTTTCAACCAGGTTGCATCAAACCCATATTTAATGAGAGTGTGATTTGTCAAAGTGACTATAGGGAGAGAGTAGGAGGGAGGAATAGTTGTACATGGTTAGTCTCCTGAATTATCAGGAAAACTAATGTGGATCACAGGTGAACAAAAGACAAAAGGCCAAATGAATATTGCATTAGTCATGAACTGTGTGACTCAGAACAAATTTCAGATGTGTTTCATCCCTCATTTAATGATCTCCTCACTATTGACCTTTGGACAAATGAATGTACCTTAACAGCATAAAAATGTATCTTTCAAATGCTTTTGCATTCTTTTACTCTTAAAACATGTGCTAATAGGCATTTTCCAATTCCCTCCCAACACACACACTCCAACAGTGACACGGCCCTACTATCATTCCTCTTTTTAAGAAAAATTATGTCAAGAAAAGGGAACAGAGCTCAAATGTCTAACCTTTGGCTCTGCTACAGTGCTGGACATGCTGGTTCAAATCTTGCTTGAAGGTTATGAGATTTGAATTGAACATATCAAAACTAAGCTTTTTTTAAAACAATTCTGAGCCTGCTGTTGTTGTTACCACAAACCTTTATAAATCTGCTTGGTTGTTCACATTCACATGATTTTTCATATTTGTATGTGTGGTAAGGCAATAAAAATCTTGATATTGCTGGCAAAGATTCTCTAGCACAGCAAGACATTAGGGTGAAGGTTCATAGATGCATAGCATTGGAAGAGCCCACAAGGGCCATCCAATTCAACCCCTTGTCATGCAGGAATACACAATCAACATGTTCACCAAACATCCAGGAGTGATCTCAACATCAGTGGAAGAATGAGGCATGCAGAGTTTTTCATCATTGTATTTTTCATATTCAGTGCAAAATGTCTTTGCACAAAACTGGTACAGGAATCCTCTTGGTTTTTGGATGTTTCACTGTCTTGACAGATTTAAATTATAGCCATATGATCCAGTTTCAACCCCTAGTCTGCTCTTTTGACAATTGCTACTTTTCCCCTACCCCTCATTTGACTCAACACAAGGGTATGCTGCTGTTGTTATAGTTTTCTCTCTGTCTGCTGGCATGCTGTTTTCTCTCTCTCAGTCAGCTTAGTGCCATCTTGTGTTCAGTCTTGCCTATGCAAGCTAAAAAAAGATTGGGTTCCACTTTTCAACCGATTCCACTTTTTGACAGCCCTCTGGTCCCTAACCCATCAGATAAACAGGGGCTTTTTGCAGCTTTTCCCTTACTTAACCTAAGCACATATACACAAAGTAAACACAAATGGACAGGCTGATCAACAGAACATCACACATGATCTATCCAAAGCTACTAATTTAATAGTCCACATAACAAGCCAGTGAGAGACAGTGTGGTGTAGTGGTTTGAGTGTTGGACTAGGATTCTGGAGACCAGGGTTCTAATCCTTGCCTGGCCATGGAACTCCACTGAGTGACCTTGGACAAATCACACTCTCTCAGCCTCAGAAGATGGTAATGACCACCACCACCCCATGGAGAAAATTGCCAAGAAAATCCCGTGATAGGGTCATCTTAGGGTTGCCATAAATTCAAAATGACTTGAAGGCACAACAACAGCAACAAATATAACAAGCTTATGACTGGGGGTCTCATATTAGGAGGGCAGTGAATATGCTCCAGGTTTTATCTTATCTTTAAAAGAGCTATCCAAATTGTTGAATTCTATCCCCACAAAAAAATTCAACTTTAAATAAGTTTTAGGCAGACCATTTGAAACTGGAACAGAATCATCACTATAATCATTATCATTCACTTTATTTATATCCTACCTTTCCCTCAAGAATTCAAGGGAGCTTACAAATAAAATTGATTGCAATATAGTTAAAAACATGCAAAAAGTCAACAGTAAATTATAATTAAACCAGTAACAATATTACTGGGGATCATTTAGTCGAGCATTAGTTTCTGTGTAGGTTTTTTTATATATATATATATATATATTAATCTATGTTGGTTTTAAATTTGCTTGATTTAATACTTTTTTAAGGGGGGGGGTTCTGTTCTGTACTATGTGTTTTATCTGGTTGTTTTAACTTGTAAGCCGCCCTGATTGGGTCTCCATTGGGCGGGGTATAAATAAATTTTTTATTATTATTATTATTATTATTATTATTATTATTAAACTTAAAGCGTAAATCTCAAAACAAAAAAAAAAAACAGTTTTAAAAATGATACAAATGAAAACAATGCTACATTCCCTTAAAAGTATTTTTGGAACAAAGAAAAAAAAAAGAGGATTTTCCCTGTCAATGGAAAGATATCAAGAAGAGAGGAATTCCAAGAATTCCTAGCGAGGCAATTCCAGAGTCTGGGGCAACCACCAACAGAGCCCTATCTTATGTCCTCAACAATTTATGAAGGTGGTGGGACTCGAACAAAGAAGGGCCTCTTCTGAAGATCTCATGATTTGAGCTGGCTGCTATGGGGACAGATGGTCTGTTAGACAGCCTGGAGTTAAGCTACATGGGGCTTGTGCCATAATCAGCATTTTGAATTTTGTCTGGAAACAGACTGGCAAACAGTGACACTGTTGGAGCTAGGGAGTTGTATTATCCCTCTAGTCAGCCCTGGTTAACATTCTGACTGCAGCTTTTTGTACCGAATGTTTCTATGCAGGCCTACATAGAGTAATCCAAATGAATTTTAACTAAGGACCTTTGCAGACTGCCAGAAATAGTGCACATTAAATTGAGGCACTGCCCTGGCTCAGTGCTAGGGAGTCATGGGAATGGTATTTTTTTCTGGGACATTGAGCCTTCTCTGTCAGAGAGCTCTGGTGCCACAATAAATTACAGTTCCCATGATTCCCTAGCACTGAGCCAGGGCAGTGCCTCAATTTAATGTGCACTATTTCTGGCAGTCTGCAAAGGCCCAAGCATGTGTTACTATGACCAGTTCAGACATCTCCAGGAATGGGTGCAGTTGATGCATGAGTTTAAGTGTGTGAGAACATGCATGAGCACTACCAAAAGCCTCCAGGCTGAATCCAGGAGTACATCCAACCTGTGTCTTCAGCTGCATCCCTATCCCCTACATTACCATCCCACCACCAACATAGAGCCACCAGCTACCAAAGGAAACAAAGCAACCACTATCACGTCACACACACCCCCACCCAAAAAAAGAAACTTTTCAAGGAGAAATGAAAAAGTCATACCAAAAATATCAACTCATAGAAGGATTCTGCTAACAATCCAGTAATGTTCAGATACTTCATGAGGCAACAGAGGACCAGCCTTAGAGGTATATCTTTGCTGATCTCAAGCTGTCCATCTTCCCCATCTGGATTTGGACCAGACAAAGCATGCATACATTGAGAGTAAATTGTAAGCAAACACTGTTTGTGACATAGCATGACAACATTCATGAGTACATTGGAGCTTGGAATTAAAAGGAACAGCATTACTTGTTAAATGTTGCCTTTTTTGCCTTACCTACAGTCAAAGCTTTTCAACAGTCTAAAGAAAAATAAGGGAAGCATTCATTTCTTTTTTTCTTTTTTCTTTTTTCTTTTTCTTTTTTTTCATAAAGCACAATACTGTATTTATTCATTGTATGAAGAATATTACTTTGTGGGGAGGGATTTTTGCTTGTGTCATTTAAGTGATAATTTGTTTATTTTTTAAAAAAAAATATCCAGTAAAATATTAATAATATTAACATTTACTGAGAAATGGGTAACATTTGCACATGAATCACTTAACCTTCCAAATGTTGTTGAATTGTAACTTCCAGCATGCCTGTCAAGAACTGCTTTTTATTTCCACAGTTTAGTGAACCAGAAATGTGTTTGAATGTGTTTCAAACAGTAAAACTTTATTCCAGTAACTATAGGTGTTAGCAGGAAGACATCTGCAGACCAAAATATCATTTCCATACACCAGCCAAATATTCTATTTACCCCATGCTACAGTTTTTTTAACAATTTGTCCATAAGTCAATATAACTCTATGTACCACCCTTCTTAACTTCACCCACTTTTGGTTTATACCCTACAGTATTCTCCCATGGGAAACAGTATCCCCCCCACATCTGTGCATTCCTTAACCAGACAATTATTCTTAACACAAGGTACCAGTCAATATCTGGGTGGGTTTTTTTTTATCACTCCAGATACACATATAGACCCTATAACATCATACTAATAACCATTAAATATTAAACCTTTAACTATTAAACATTAACTAAAACTATTAAGGAGAGTCCCAACATGGTGTAGTGGTCTGAGTGTTGGACTATGACTCTGGAGACCAGGGTTCGACTCCCTACTCAGCCATAAAACCCACTGGGTGACCTTGGGCAGGTCACATACTCTCAGCCTCAGGGGAAGGCAATGACAAACCTCCTCTGAACAAATCTTGCCAAGAAAACCCCATAATAGTTTGCATTAGGGTCACATTAACTCAGAAATGACTTGAAGGCACACAGCAACAAATAATGGTTAAACATAAACATAAACCAAATCAACCAGTTCATGACAGAGTCAATGAGAATCTGACAATGCCTCATCATAGGCTATGTTTTTTTAGACTTGCTGGTAATTCCAGTCCAACAAAATCTGGAGGGCTGCATCATTCCAGCCCTTGAATAACATGTTGCAAACATTACTTTCTGAATAATGCTTCTGAACTGTGCTGAGGAGGCAGTTCCATTTCAGCATCTTCATAGGATGAGATTCAATGTGATGGAACAATTAGATCCCAGGACCTTTAAGGAGAATATAGCCACACACTATAACGATTACTGAAGTGCCCCCAGAAGAGAGGTATCACTTTTTACTGCCACCCTGCTACAAGTACTGCAGATAATGAGACACATTGATCCTTCTCACAGAACCCTAAATTCCTGTAAAAATAAGGCTAACCTCCTACTCCAAAAGCTGTGGGGAACTAGTTACATTGTTCTGGATCGAGGCCCAGAAAATGACACAAACACTCTCTCTCAGAAAAATAAAAGTCTGTTGTGTTTCTCTGTCTTGAGCAGAAATACTTTGGGAAAAGTTTGTTTCCTGATATTTTGACAGAACGGTAAGCCCGGTTGTTAGAAAAAGCTGCACTGCATCTGAATGTAGAATCTGGAAAGAGTATTATTTGAGTTTCTGTTCCTGAAATACACTATGGATCTGAGGAGACATTCAGAAACCCCTTCTCACTCCTTTCCCCCTCCCCCAGGTAATTCATCTATCTCTGAATGCTATGACTGCTTATATTTCCATAAATTATATAATCATCCAAGATTATGCTTGTATAAGTGGGAATCTACCATCACACACTGAAGTGCTGGTCATGCTACATCATCCTTATGTTGAATACCATCATTGTGCAATCACTGTGTGCTCACTGTTTATGCAATCCCATAGTTATGCACCATCCAAGAATACACAACTGTATATGCCACATTGACTCTTGTGGAACTATCCTTATGCAACTATAAACTGAATATGGACATTCTGTCAGAACCAATACACACGCGCGCGCACCACTACATGCTTTAAGAGAATTTGCATGTATGAATGATACAGGAAAGGTAAATCTCTATTTTTCCAAGTCCCATCCAGTGTTGAGAACAATGAAACAGTTTTTTGTCCCTTAACTTTGAGACATTTGGGAATCTGTCCCCACACACACAATGATGAGAAATTGTGTTTTGTTTTGTTTTTAAAAGCCATGCAGCCTGCCCAGAAAGTTGTGTAGTTTTCCAGAAACCACACAGCTTCTCCTGAGAACAGCACAGCCTTCCTTTAAAAATGTATAGCTTTCAAGTTGTGGGATTTGTACAAGATAGTTTTTTATGGTTTTTGGGGGCTGTGTGGCCATGTTCTAGAAGAGTTTCTTTCTGATGTTTCACCAGCATCTGTGGCTGGCATCTTCAGAGAAATAGTTTGTACAAAATAGTTTGTTTCCAGGTAGCCACATGTGTGTTTTGTACAAGCCTACTATTTTTACATAGAAAACAGCAATGCTGTATAGCAGATCATCATATCATCGTCATCATCATCATCTTGCATAACTAAAATGTTGCACAAAATCAAGCAAGATTTTTTTTTTGGGGGGGTGGAGTAAGATTTTTGCTGTGCAAAGTGTTTTAGGGCTATAGGAGGGAAATAGGAATAAAAAGAAAAAGATTGCAGGAACTTCCCCTCAGACTTTTGTTTCATTCAAATCCTAAGCAAACTCAGCAACAGCAACCTGGGTAACACCAGGTAATTTTCCTAATATATGCAAAATTGTTTCATAAACACATCACTCAGTTAATGAATATTTACTTATTTACTTATTTCATTTGATTTCATTTCACTTCATTTCATGTTTATGCCTCCTTTCGTCAAGAAAGGGACCCAAAGTGGGTCTCAATTAGGAAACAGTTTTAAAACTTTATAATAAAAATTAAAAAACAA